CAGCAGTGGAGATGACAGTGCCCATCCCACTCTGACACTGTCTGACCCCGTTGCATTATAAACTCGCCGCTTGTGTGGAAATCAGTAACGACCCGGAACTGGGCAACAGCACGCCAATTGCAGCACAAAATGCTTCTAAAATGTCTTACATTTCACTAAATTTGTGAAGATTATGGTTAGTCGAAATGAATAAATGAACAAATCTTCAACTTACTGTGGTTCCGTCATGTTGAACGTCTGCTTACAGAGTGGCAAAGAAGGTACTAGTCGTAGGTCAGACCATTCATATGCAAACACAAGTTTCCTTCCCACAATCCCTCGCGTTCTGTCTGCTGCCACCACATGGTCGATTTTATTTACATTTACAATTCTGTCCCCTATAAAATACCAAATCGAACTTTGGGCGATATTTATTTATTCAGAAATCCGCTGAACTATGGAATTTATTTCGTGAATGAAAAAAACTGACGTGGAGTAACTACAGTTGAATAAATAAAATATCCTTTCCATTACCCATTTTGTAATACCACGCAGGAGATCGACATTAAATTTGTTTCGTTCGGGTTCACTAGTCTAAATAGAATAGAATAGAATAGAATAGAATAGAATAGAATAGAATAGAATAGAATAGTTGGCGTGTAAGAGAACAACATGATTATGTAAACACTACGCAATACAATCAATCAATCAATCAATCAATCAATATTCATGACACACTGTTATCAAGCCAGTACAACAATGACATGCGCTGTCATCGGTCTGGTTTGGATGGAAAACCGTTATTACAGCGGGCGCGAGATATTTACATACACCTAACGGCTGACTTAACTCCCGCACCTGGTAGGCAATCATGATTACCGGGGGACTTTGCAACATCCCCAGGCACTTTCCTAGACACTCTAGTGACCGTTGTAGACGCAATAAAGTTACATACGCGCTCGCGCGACATACCCACTCTGTATGTTTGATACTATTTTCGAATTTGTGGTAGCCGTAGTTGTTATATTGTTGAAATACAGGTAGTAATTTATTGTGAAACTAACGTACAAACTGGTGTCCCATATCTGTTTTCTTCATTTTTACAGTCATGGTATCAAATAAATTTCATTTTCTTTCTTTTGCAAATACTGTTAAACATGTCTTTTTCGCGAGAATGTCTTTTTCGCGAATTTAGCAAGAGAACTGATTCGCTAATTCAAGATGTTACTAATGACTTTATTATCAATTCAAAATGGCCGCCAAACAAAGAAATCAACAATGACTAGAGAGATTCGCTAAATCCTCAACATTTCGCTATTACGTCATTTTACCACAATTCGATAAAATTGCATGCCGTTTTTTCAACATGTTTTACAGTAAGTTGATTAAATTGTTTTTAATCGAGTCATTCAGTTCGCAACAACATTTTAGACTCATTTAAGCAAAAAAATCATTTTATACTCATCTTTGATGCCCTTAAAGAATTGAATTAAATTTTACACTATGTTATTATGAAAGACTTAAGTATCCAATTTATAGTGGATACTCAGCCTTGTCCTAAATTTTGAATGAAATGTCGAAGGCATATCTGTGGACTTCCAAAACATGTTTTTTTCCATATTGTTAATGATTGAAGTATTGTCAACCGCAGATTCAATTTAACTTTACCCTTAAATTGGTTTGATAAATATTCGTCTATTGCTGAACCAAAATTAAAACAAATGATACATGCACTAATAATTATATTAAATAATAATATCACGAGAAAATCAATATGATAAACTGGAATATCAGATAAAAAACATCTTTTCATAAAAGTTGGACTAGAAACCATTCCTCACAATAAAATAGGTTTTATAGGAAATTGAAATTCACATTACTAAAGTACTGGAACGATAAATATTTTGAAAAATCAAACATGACCAACTCAACTTAAACAAAAATGAAAAAAAAAAACATTCTTAATTAACAACAAATAATTTATACCCCCTTTCTTCGGCACACAGACTTTCCAGAAAAAAAATATTCAGAGATAAAAAAAATACAGATAGAAACCTGCACCCATTGCCTTGTCGTGTCAACTAAATGTGTGGCGCCATCTATTGACAGGGTTGTGATATGAACTGTTTACTGCGAGTACACTAACGATTTCAATAGACATGCCAGTGACCAGCTTTACTGCATGTATACAATGATGTCAGTTATCTTACATTCTTTTATTCGATGAAACCTCTTTTTTTTTTAAAGTGAAAACACATTTTAGTCCTAATGACACCTTTTATTCAGTCCTCTTTTACTATATATTGCGCCCTCTATGGACGGACTGATGAAGCGCTCGTATGTATGTGATGTCGGTGTGGGATTTACGTAAAAGTTCCTCGTTTAGACTTAACCCATATCTAAAAACAAAGTAGTACATATTATGGAAGGTACTAAGTACCTTCCATACACATATCAAAACAACGCCGACTCTTGGAACTCTTTACCTATTTACGTCACAGAATTAACTCGTCGCTTGAGGGCGATGTAATTACATGTCAATATAAAAAGAGCGCCAATAATTTATATATTATTTACAGTGGTTAATGATTTTTCATGTTGTTCACGGGCACGGAGTTGGCAGAGTTCTTGAGTCCCGAACCCACCGAATATATGACAGCGATCTCATTTGTATAATGAACGATGTTGCTCGTCCCGGGAACTGTTGGTTATTGAAACATGATTGCACCCCTTATGTGTCTCACTCTGGACAAGAAACTCGTGTTCGTGTTCATTCTTGGTCTCTCAAAATTCACACCAAAAATGGTTGTTTATGGTGAGCTAGGAAGGAACCCCACTGACTGTTTTATCAAGAAACAACGACTTCAATATTTCAACCGGGTAACAAACTCTGATAACACATTACTAAGAGAAGCCTACTTAGTAAATAAGAATGTAAAAAGTAGATGGTTTACAAGTGTAGAAACCTTCATGCAAGATATAGATGTTGTCACCATTGTAAACTCAAGTGAAAAAATAATTAAGAAAAATTTAGACTTTATTCATAACAAAAATAAACAAATCATTTGAGAACCAATGACATGCATAATGATAATAGAAAACAAACCTTGGCTAAAAACAAACTAAGAACATACAGACTTTTCAAACAAGATTTAAAAATCGAAAATTACCTAATTAATATGCAGAACCATGGTCTTAGAAGGTTAATTGCAAAATTCAGGACAAGCAACCATGACCTTGAAATTGAGAAAGGCAGATATAAGAAGGTGCCGCCGGATAAAAGAACATGTGATATGTGCAGCCAAAATATAGTTGAGGACGAGCAACATTTTGTAATGAAATGTCCAGCTTACAGTCACCATAGGGACAAATTATTCCTGACTGCACAAAATAAAGTTCCAAATTTTGATAAAGAAAATAGTCAGAATAAATTCATTTTGATTATGGCAAACCATACTCTAGCACCAGCCTTAGCTGTCTTTCTAAAAAACAGCTATGGAACAAAACAGCAACAACTATCAGTGTATTAGGCTTCATTTTGTGTTCATTCTATATTCTGTATTCACCATTGGCTGCAAAGGATTTTATGCGTCTAATAAAAAAATATTCATAATTGCTACACCGGGTTATATTCTGGAAAGATTTACGAAATGCGGGATGAACGAACGAATATATAAAAGCAAGGCGCAACAAGAGACCAACGTGCGTAATTGACGAACGAAGAGCGCCTCAGAGTAGTAACACGACATTAAACTGCAAGAATTAAAAACAAACAAAAAAACAGACGAAATCTATTACAAATACTCCAATGAGCATGCGCGCCACATTTCAGGGGTTAGCATTTAAACAAAAGGAATGCCGTTGGAAAACAGGATTATTTTTATTCTGAACTTTTGCAATAATAACCACAATGTAATTGTAATTGCTATGAACATCGCTGGCAAATAAAATTTAGTTGCGGTCTGAGGTACACTGCCTTGTAATTTATGGCACAGGCGCTCGGAACGTTTCCTGGATAATAAAAAATGACCTAAAGTGGGATCGGCATAGTTAGTCAGTCGCCGGAAAATTCCCCTACTACTCATATAATAACACAAGGTAGGAAAGCGTTGACACCATGACATCGAAACTTCCCGAAAATAACACGATTTTCCAAACATGCGCAGTTTCAAACATTTACGCATGCTCGGGCCTCTATATTGATTCATATTGCTCGGGTGTTTCGATTTTCACAGGATTTAACCCGTTTTTATAGTTCGAATAAAAGTAATGCAAGTCGATCGATAGTTTCTACCGATATCATGCTTGAGTTATGTGAAGCGGATCGAAATATAATTTGGAAAATCGTGTTATTTTCGGGAAGTTTCGATGTCATTAAACACTCCAATGTTTGTAATGATGACGTTATTTGCATAATGATATTGATACATTGTATGGAACATCTCGTGAGTATTTAGACTCAGTTCCAGGCCTAGCAGTTGAGCAATAAACATCTTAGTTACAAGTGCTCCTCTCCAGTGCGTTATTCTCCTCCCAGATTTGGTGACCAATACTCACTTGAGAAGTTTGTTCTCAGTTTACAGTGTTACATTAAATTGTTCACGCAGTTAGGTTAATATTTCCACACTCGCAATATGTTCATATTATAATAGCCTTTATGTCTATATTATGTGTTATTTTTGATGGGCGGAAATGCCGTTTTTGAGTTTGTTTTACAATTTTGAAGAAAATTCATTTTGTTTCGAAAAAAAAGCTTGAATTTTACGAGTTTTTGTATCTATAATCATTTATCACTGGTCCCTTACAACAGGAAGTCAATGAATTTTACGTTTACAGAACTTTCACTATTAGTTAAACATATTCTAACTCCAGGGCTGTGTCGGTGTAACATAGTACATTTTGGTGTTGAAATTATCTTCCCAATTTTGCTTTTCTTCTAATATCCCTCCAAACATGCTTGATTCATTTGTTCTTTCAAAGTTTCCAACATTAAATACATGCATTCATTCAAGATGTGGATGTCTACTCAACAAATATTTCCCCTTTTTATACCTACTAGTTTCACATTTTACTAGTGGGCCACATTGCTTATGTTCCCACCTCCATCAGTTTTTTTTTTAGATACATCAGACATAGTCTCTTGCCGTATTGCATTCTTTGGCCAGAGGGACAGATGTGTTTCCATATTCCAGCAGTTACAGTTTTTAGAACTTCCGTTTTAAACAGGGTGTACTTGGCAATATGCTTGGCTTAATGGTTAACACTCAGCATGAGGGAGATTGCAGGTCCATCTTCCATGGACTATATCGCATTTCAAAATTATAGTGAAATGTGGGAATATGTTCAAATTGAATACTACTCCACCAATCACAAAGCAACCTGAACTCACAATCCAACAATGCACTATAATTTGGGATTGAGATATGGTCTATGGTCACCTGCTCAGGAATTCATGGTTTCGAAAATGTCATTAAAGAGATTGTAAAGTTGTTAACTGTATTTTTACTGCTGATTAGACATATTAACATATATGTAGATAAAGTGACCAGGTGTAAAAATAAATCAAAGCTTAGAAAGAACTCCTGTGTGCTGAGAGTATTGGAGACACATTAAAAATTAATTCAAAATTACTTGAACTTGAGATATTAATGGGAATGCAGAAATTATGCAAATGAGGTAACTAATACGAACAGATCTAAGTGTAAAACTAATAAGGTCTGCACAATGTACCAAGTTTCATTGAAATGTGATTAGAACCAAAAAAATATAAATTATTATGCTAATTAGAGAATTAATATGAACAGATTTTAACCCAAAATTAATCAGGCTGTCTATTGTCCTAGAGCATTTACGTACCAAGTTTTTACTTGAGATACCAGTATTAATTAATTATGTTAATTAGGTGATTAAGAAGCATAAATATTTACCAAAAACTAATATGGTGTATAGTCCTAGGTTCATTGAAATGTGATGGGTACTCTTTAAAAGTTTCATTAAAATCCAATGAGTGTTTTTTTAGACATCAGTGCAACAGCCATAGAACAGCAAAAAATTAACTAATTATGCAAATTAGGTAATTAATATGCACAATTATTTATCCTAAAACTGATCAGGTCTCTGCATAGTCCTAGAAAATCTATCTCGCAAGGCTCATTGAAATGTGATTAGTAATATCAGGCGAAAGCTGAAAATTATTGAATTATGCTAATAAGGTGATTAATATGCACAAATATTTACCCAAAAACTAATTAGGTCTCTGCACAGTCCTCAAGTAACTGTGTACCAAGTTTCATTGAAACGTGATCATTACTACTCAAAATATCAAAAGCTGAAAATTTATTAATTATGCAAATTAGGTAATTAATATGTACTGATATTACCCTAAAAACTATCAGGTCTGTGCAGTGTCATATGAAATCTATGTACCTAGTTTTATTGAAATGTTATGATTAGTACTTGAGATAACAGTGGAAAAGCCGAAAAATTTATCATTATGCTAATTAGATAATTAATATAAACAGATTTTTACCCAAAACTAATCAAATCTGCAAATTAGTTCAGAGCATCCATGTACCAAGTCAAAAGTCAAAAAAACAATCACATCTTTTTTAATTTTTGATTGTTGTATTTGAATCATTGCATTTCATCACATTCATAGATAGATACATTACAGAGAATCAGATGCAAATCATATTTGAAAAATAAATAAGTTAAAAAAACTAAATAACATGACTCATAATAACTGAACAAAATTACATTTTTACATATGAACATTAGTTTTTTTTCCCACAATTTATAATAAAAATATTGCTGATTTTTCTGACTCTCCCAAGAACTTACTAAATTATTTCTAGTTAAAATATGATAAAATGTAATCAGTTTGCAGCAGATGGTAGTAAGCATAACAGTGGAGAGAAGTGACATCACTGTAATGTAATGTTTGAAACACTTCACATGCGAGAAATTTAAATATAACTTTTGCGCATGAATCAAACAGTCAAATATTTATATCAAAATACATGTTGCAAAACCACTCTCCAGTATCAAATGTTTAGTATTTTTCAAAAAATATACAATATACAAGCATATTCATATAACTGTAACATTAGAAATCATAAATATCTATAAACTTTGACAACATTTTAATTGGCTGTTGCGTGTTGGATCCACATTGTTGACCAATCACTGCTTCATGTTCAACCATATAAAATAATACCGACAAATTTTATTTTCGCTGACAGCTAAATCCGCTATTAAAACTAAGTGAATTCAATAAAATTGTTTCCATATCCCTGCATGTCAAATCCACTAAGAGTAAACCAAGTGAAAAATTTCACCTTTCGAAGTACTTGAATGACTATCATTGTTTTATAAATATATTGTTTATAATATTTCAGCTATATGAAAACCCCAACACATCAGCACCATAAATGTACAAGCAATTCAGTTCTCGAATATATGTACAGTATTAATTATTGATCGCTTATAAGTTAATAAATTACAACCTTATGATTCTATCATCTTCAGTTTATGAATTAATATAAAAATGATTTGTTGTTAGATATTCATATGATGCATCACTGACGTACACCTCTATGAGATGTAATGTCATTGACGCAGCAACAATAATTACCTTACTTATAATCTTATTTGGGTTACAGAATATATATTCAAATTAACCAAGTAATCCATGAATAAAAATCTTTCATTTTGTGTTATGACATACAGCATCACACACACTCAATTTGTTTTGATAAGCTCTCGAACGCACACATTTTAGGTATTTACACTCATGCAAAATCTGACTGTACATCACACTTTTTGTAGTTTGCAGCTTAGTAAAACATAATACTCTGACAAACAAATAGTATCTATGTTGTTAACTGTGCACGTATGATATGATCAGAAGTGTTTGCATTCTATAAAATCTCAATTTTATTTCAAGCATAGTTGTGCAGCCATATTAACATTATTAACAGATGAAAGCTTTCATAGATAGTCACAAATTGTCAATATCTGTAGTATAAAAAAGCTCCAGTAGACGTATTAAAGTCAGGCAGGCTGAATTAACATATAAAACACCTACTGTTGAAATAAATAGTTAGGGACGGTTTCATACTACTACTAGTATTAACATAAACAGAAGATGATGTGTTTCTCTTTATCTTAAAACTCAAGGTGAAACAGTCACTGTCACATGTCATGTTGGAAATTGATGCCATTCTGACGAATACATCGCTTGTGTGAAATATGTCACTAAAGTATACACAATTAAAATGCACGGTGACTGTGTGGTCTTTAATGATTGCCAACAATAGATGATTTTCCGTACAATTGCGAGATCTCGCGAGATGCATGAAAGACGCGCATGGAACGTCTGCCGCAAAAATCGAACGATTTGATTTTGAACTAGAATTTCTTTATTTCGCAGCTTACATTGACTGGCCGATCTTCGACAGAGGAATATTGCTTCCGAATACCTTTACTTAATCAAAATTGCCTATCATCAAATGTGGACAGCACATTATTAAGCATGGAAATGTCCCCGAAATACTTTCGTGTTTGTCGAATCCCACACGATGTTTGACGCGACTACGACGCTATGACCTTTGTTTGTCCTGTTTTTACGTTCGATTTCACGCATAACGCGTGATTCTCGCAGTGAACAGAAAATGGTCTATTGTCAATGCTGCATGTCTACATGTATATTGCTTTCACACAGAATGTTTCTTCATTTTTGTCCTCTGCATCGTTTATAAAGATAAGAATCTCGGCACTTCCAGGAACCTGACTTGGTGTGAATCGTAATCCAATAGTGTGAACTTGACCAGCACCAATCTAGGAAAATCAAACAAATGGTAATCACCAGCTTAGAAATAATTATAACAATCTGGATGAAGAATTGGAATACTGTGAAATACTTTATTTTCGCTGGAATTTATTTTCCCTGAAAAGGCTTTTTGGGTGTTCTGTATGGAATTTATTTTCACTGATTTTTGATGAGTTGAATGTGAAATACATGTATAGGAAAAAAAGTATATTTGCTGGATTTTATTTTCACAGAATTATCCCTTCAGAGAAAATAAATTCCAAGTGAAAATAAAGTATTCTACAGTAGTCCATATACTAGTACACGAATCATAAAAATCTCACATCCTGGTACATTCTGTGGATATTGTTACTCTATAAACAGTAATTTTTTCTAATATTCAATAATGAATTCAAATTTAACAGGTTTTGAATTTTAATGCCATAAGTTCATTCTGAGGTTACTGTCACGTTCAGGCAAACTGTTCTATCGTAAAAAGAAAATGAATATTTTTCTGAACAAAGTCAAATGGTTTTGCAATTGCTTTTGTGACAGTACACAATATTATCCTCAAAAGGGACTACTGTTTGCAGTTTTAAGATACAATAACAACATGTAGGTAATTATCATTGTTAGTGAATTTTCACCCACGAAAGTACCAGGATGTATCGGTATTTGGAGGACATGAATATGCCTACAAATTCAATACTGTAAAACCATTAATTTTCACTGACATTAAATGTCATTATTTTGCACTATTTTGACGTTTGAGCCTTTTCACTGGATTGTAAAGTTCACAAACTTGGCAAGAAGTTCTATTGTCATTCTACAAGTTCATGTGGATTTAATTAAACAAATTTCACTTATCAACCAAAATAGCAAAATCAAACCAGCAAATAATGAATGTATTTACAGTATAACATCAAATTTTCCTCAGACGGTTTTTGTTGGTATGAGTAACAAGCAGCCTGTCGGCTGAGATAGCTCCGCTGTTAGCAAGGTACATTTCAAATAAAGAACAAAAGATATCAGTAGATTTCAACAAGAATTCAAAAATATCATTTTTCACCATAAATGATTGTGGTTTTTAACACGAAGAAAATATCTCTTTTTACCAAAAATGACAAAAATATTCACCAAAATTAGAGAATTAAAGATATCATTACAAACTGAACAAATCTGAGAGAGGTCCACATGTAGTACCTATATATGTAATAACAAAACAATTGGACTTGCGGTTTTTAACAAGAAGTTGAAAATATCACTTTTTACCAAAAATGACAAAAATATTCACCAAAATTAGATAATTAAAGATATCATTACAAAATGAACAAATCTGAGAGAGGTCCACATGTAGTACCTATATATGTAATATCAAAGCAATTGGACTTGCGGTTTTTAACAAGAAGTCGATAATATCACTTTTTACCAAAAAGGACAAAAATATTCACCAAAATTAGAGAATTGAAGATATGATCATGGAATGAACAAATCTGAGAGAGGTCTACCCAAGGTACATATACACCAAATATCAAAGCATTCAGGCTTGTAGTTTTCAAGAAGAAGTTGAAAAAGTAAAACATTGACACGGATGATGGACAACGGACGACGACGAACAATCACTCATATGATAAGCTCCGCTCGACAAAGTCGACAGCGGAGCTAAAAAGGGAGGGGAGGGGGTAGAAGACTTTACTTTATAACCTAGACATACCTCAATTTT